TCCCAAACTTGACAAATTCTTTTCAAATTCCATCCTTACTTGAGATAATGTTTTTACAGATTTACTCCTGGAAAGTATTGTTTCTTGAATGTTAGACACAAGTTGCTTAAAGGCCTTGTCATATTCTGAATCTCCCTTGTCATGGTCAAACTTTCTCCTTGCTGCTGTAATGTTTCGTTCTGAGATGTATGCAGCATAACAAGAACGGTGGTACTTTGCATCGAAGGCAAACAAGTCAGAATAGGTTGTCATACGTAGAATAACCGTTTCATCATTTCTAGCAATAGCTGCAGCCAATACCTTTTCATGTGTACTCTGCCCTGTTCCTGTGGCAATCTGTGTTAGTTTCTCACCCTTTTTCCACCCTTTGCTACAAATGAAGCAATGTTGCCGGATGTTAAATGATGATGTGTCATTTCTGCTTAAGCGGGTGTTGTTGTATATGGATTCATCAGACTGTGTGTTGTCAGATATTTGACTGTTGTCTACATGTACATGCTTCAAATTGGATTTGCTGGTATACGATGCTCGACAAGACTTGTGAAAAGCAACTTCAATAGTCCCTGTCAAAATATCATCTTTGAATGGCAATAGATGATGATACACTTCATCCAGACGTACTTCAGAAGCTGTAAACAATGCTTGCAGTCCATCTACTGTGGGTTTTCTTACAATATTTGATGCCTCTTTCCCTTTTTCCCCAAGCTGTCTATGACAGAGAATACAATGTCCTATATCTGGTGGGACTGGGCGGATTCTTTTGGCAGGTGGTGCCAAATCCATCCTTATATTGTTTACACAATAATGAGCATCATAGTCCAACTTACATTGATCACTGAAACTTCACTGTGTTCAATATCTATGTCATCACAGACAGAGCAGTCACTAATACTCCATATTGGATAGCAGAAGGGGAAATCACTCTCAACAAACATTGCCAAATTTAGTAATAATTAAGCGCCCATAAAATCTTGGGTGAAACTTTATGAATAGACAGTGTTTTTGAGAATGGTTGTTTGACCTAGTCACAGTTGGTAATGGTAACATACCTTCAAATAAATTAATGCCCTCTACATGTGCTATCATATGAGTGTAAACAGGGCTTTCTGTGTCATTCTGAAAATTATTTATGATAAATGAAAACTATCAATTATTTTTTTCTGCACTAACTGATGCATTAAATAATTCATTGTGTCCATCGGTGGCTTCAATAGAGTTAATGATTAGTACTGAAAGAATTGATGAACATTACAGATCATTTTAAAAAAAAGATGAGAGTTGTACCCCATCAAATAATGTTGTAGTGGGTGGTTAAGTGAACCTCCCGTCCGAAACATATTTTGCTCTTGTAACCATGGAAACAGAGCATTATATATATTACATACCAATTTCATATGACCACAACCATACTTTTCTTGAAGAATACACATATATGTACAAGAAAATATAGGTTGTGTCTTGTTATACCATCGGTTGGGGTTGCTCCTATTTTTATAGGCCTTTTGAAGAATGGCCACTGGACTATAAATAGCGTAAGGTGATGGCAATTTTCAGTTCAGGTGCGATAGAGTAATTTCTGTCCGTGGGTGATTGCAAAGATTCTCTCACCAAATCTGTCAAAAATATGATTCCCGCTCGATCAAAACGGAATCTTTTGACTAATTCATTGTCATTGTAAAAAGTTAAAACGTCCTTACGTTCTTGAAAATGTCTGAGGTGACGGCTGCGTTGTCTAGCGGCCGCCATTTTGTTGAGTTAAGAAAATTCTTAGGTCGCCTTAGGAGTCCTCTGTGAGGACTCCTAACATTTCCTCACTCTAAGAGTACTCTTAAGAGTAAAGAGGCTTTATAAATAGGTCTTGAGAAAATTCTTAAAATTAAGAGTAACTCTCACAAAATTCTCAGTATTTTCTACACTTAGGAGTAACTTTTAATTCTTAGAATTTTTATAAATACCGCCCCAGAGCACTAGCGGTGTCGCGGAGTATTCTTGACACACTAGCTCGGTATACTCCATGGAGATCCCCGATTTCACTGAGGAAAACCCCTTTTGCCAAATACCTCTGTGTACACAACACTTGCAGGGAGGTCGGAATAGCATGTGAACGCCTTGTAGGTTTGTTCAGTTGGGGCTCTAACTTTCTGCACAGTTAGAAAACAACATGAGTGTCGAGCACGTTCGACCTGTCTCAAAATTTCTCAGGTCTTCTTTGTTAGCGCGTTTTAATCACTTGCAGTGCCATAATCGTTGACGCCATCTTTGTAGTGTTTACGACCTCCTAAAGCATTTACGACAGGTCAATCGGGGTCCTAAATTTTGGGCTGTTTACGGTACAGTGAAAATATACGAGGTCTTTGTGAAACAGGGTAAAAAAGTAAGAGGTGGTCTACGACGACGCCATCTTTGTAGTGTTTACGACCTCCTAAAGCATTTACGACAGGTCAATCGGGGTCCTACATTTTGGGCTGTTTACGGTACAGTGTAAATATACGAGGTCTTTGTGAAACAGGGTAAAAAAGTAGGAGGTGGTCTACGACCTGCTTTACGAGGTCGTACCGGTAAGAGGGCTTTGTGAAACGGGTCCCTGGTCTACAAGCCAGAATCCCCAAATGTGGTGCAGTTATGGCGACCGAATGGGATGTGATTTTTCACAATCAGGAATGATTTAGCTTTGATTTAGAGCTAGTTATGACGAGGCTATGTGTAACTCTTTCGTGTATATCATAAATATTACTAAAACTGCGGCCTGCATAGTTTTATGAACCTTATAGTGGAAATTTTATATAAATATTATCAAGGAATATCTTTGAGTGGTCCATGAAAGCTGGCACTTAATGTTTCGTATTTAAAGCAATGGGTTTCTGTCGTAATAGATCTCCATCAGATATTCCTCCGTGATAACATGTCAACTGGGAATACACCATGACTATTAAGAACAATAGATACGGATTCATATGAAGGAAATGATGCTTGCATTATGATGACATGACCCATCATTCTTTGATGAGCAAAGAAAGACACCTGCTATAATAGCATTATACATTTAAGAGCTTTCTGTAATGTTGTGTGATTTCAATGACAGTCTTACAGTATCTTCGACATATTTGGTATCGTTGATACTATGTAAATCATGGAGCTGTTACTGTTTGACTGACATTTTGTAACATTTTGCCGATCTAAATACAAAGTAGCAATTTTTATTTCCTTGCAATGCATACAGTGCCAATCAAACGTATATATGATCTTCAAATGATATAGCTGAATTAAAAAAAACAATATTTAATCTGTAAAGTTTAATTCATACTGTTCTCATCAAATGCATTTTCTGTTAAAACTGACCTTTGACCTTACCAAAATATCTTTGCGATGAGCAATTGTCCACATTTTTAAATCATGATCTGAGCATTCCAAAACTACTATTTTTATGGAAATCGGTCTATCCAAACCAGAGTTATTAAATTAAACCATCCAGTTATCGGTTGAAATATTACCATAACTGATCTGATATGTTACAGCTTAAAGGGCCCTTGCATATTGACGCACGGTAGCTGATGACAACCGGCTTTAAATCAAAGCTAAATCATTCCTGATTGTGAAAAGTCACATCCCATTCGGTCACCAGAACTACTGCACCACATTTTCCCCATTTTGGGGGTCTGGACCCCGTTTCACAAATTATCCTAGCGCTACGACTGTCGTAAGTCTATGTTACAGTATAGGATTTGTGACAGTCATGGCGCTACGATAGCTTTGTGAAACGGGGCCTAGGCTTCTAGACCAACCTGAACCAGTTCTAACCCGGATCTTCTCATGGTGTTAACTACATGTATATGCACAGGAGACATCTTAGATTGCTTATCCTTAACTGCTTAAACGGTACATCGAGTTAAATAAAATGATATGTTTTGCGTTTTTCCTTCTTCAAAGATGAATTAACTGCCATTAAGAATGGCATACACGCGTTATAATATGAAGACTGTGTGTTAACACACGACCTCATACGTGGGTTGCTAGGTGACACAATGGAAAAACCCACCCTTATCAGTTCATGAAGGGCTATTATCGTTGTAGTTTGTTTAAAGCACACACCAACTCAATGCTAATGGTAGTTTCAGGGTATTCAATACACAGCAGATGAGTTTACATGGGTCAGGCTACATTTTGACCACTTAACGATCTAAGGAGCCCCTCGATGTATTATCAGCATACTTCCCATCAACTGTGTCATGAAGTAAACGGACAGTGACCCCTACCTGGATTTATCTCTCTCTGACTTTACACTGTCAAAGCTGGACATGGTGGAGACAGCTGTCTTGGTTCAAGTTGTGACTGAGTCTTATAACACATACAGTGTGATTTCTTCATGAATGTTACCGTAATTTCATTTCATGGATAAAATATCAGGTAAAGTGATTGGCTGATGATTAGATGTTACAACAGACAGATCACTAGACACATCAGATCACGGCCAGTCCAACAACAAACAGACGGCATATACATATACCCAGATATGAAGATGCCTAAATACAGTTACTCAAACGTTTCAACCTACATAGACTGGCTTGTAGTCTCAGTATTTTCCATGTCAACAGATGCCCTTATGAGTGTCTTGAACTGATAAGGATGGGTTTTTCCATTAGGTCACCTAGCAACCCACGTGTGAGGTCATGTGAGAGGAATTAAAAACTCATTAATCAAACTCATCAAGTTAAGTAGGTCACATTTCATAAGAAAAATAAAATGGCAATCCTTTTCGATCTATTTACCCCTCCTATACAACAATTTAACAATTACGCTACCCCACCGCCCCAGTTATGAAAGGGGTTCGTATACATTAAAATATGTTTCAATAGAAAATTGGTTGCTTTGCATCACAGACGGAAAAGGATTTTCTGCCAGAAATCACTGACGTGAAATTGCATAAAATCGTCTAAATCTAAAGAAAGGACTAAAATCGTAGGATTAACGGAACTTCTCTGTATACTAGTATTGATACTTACCGTTACTTCCTGAGATGGTGTGACCCGTGTTTGGTCCAGTTCCCGTTATTTGAGTCTCTAATAAATGTCTCTGCCATTGTCTGACAGATGATCCATGTGTCCACTGACAGAAGTCGGTCTCAAAGTCACAGTCAAGGTCTGCTCCTTGTGAAACTGTAATGAAACGTGAGTCACTTAAAACCAATTGAAGTGAGTGAGTGAATTTAGTTTGACGCCGCTTTTAATTTAGTAATATTCCAGCAATATCACGGCGGGGGACACCAGAAATGGTTTCACACATTGCACACGTGTTGGGAATTGAACCCGGGTCTTGGGTGTGGCGTTTGAACGCTGTAACCGCTAGGCTACCCGACGCCCCCAAATCAATTGAAACAACCGCCTTCATCAATCAGGAAGGGGAACCCGGTGTTTAAACCGTTTGCTGATATCGATGAAATCTTAAGATTGATTCCTCAGTCATTCGGTGGTTTCACATTAATTGTAACATATGTTATATTTGGGATTACTTTTTCTTAGTAAAGTACAGATTCTAGCACTTGACCCTCAGAGTCAGGCACCTAAACGCCAGCACAGAAAGTCAGACGCCTAGACCGCTCAGCAACCGCAGCTTCCACACAAAGTCAGACGCCTAGACCGCTCTGCCACCGCGGCTGTGGCTGAGCGGTCTAGGCGTCTGACTTTGTGTGCTGGCGATCGTTAGCAATTCAATATAAAGTTGGGCGGGACATATTATTTGCTGACGTAGATGCGCGATAACTACATGGGTACATTGTGTGAAGCCCATTGCTGGTGTCCCCCGCAGTGATATTGCTGGAGTATTGCTATAAGTGGCGTAAAACTAAACTCACCCACTCAGTTCTCCCCACAGGGATTGGGAATGCATAAACACGGGGGTAACACGGGTGTGAGACTGTGATATGCAAATCTTGAGTTCATGGGCCGCCCCTAACTTAGTTCACCAGACCATAAAGGCAAGGTCGGCCATTCTTAATTATACTCCTATGCCAAATGTAGATATAATATTAGGGTATCAGGTACACCCGGTCTTATCTCCACTGTGAATATATAGAGAATACTACACGAGGTCTCATTACATACGAATTATACGAAACGAGTGTCCTTCCTATGGTATCTGACCGAGCGAAAGCGAGGTCAGAATATCATAGGAAGATCACGAGTTTCGTATAATTCGTATGTAATGAGACCGAGTGTGGTATTTTATTTATTACCCACGTCTTACATGCATTAAATTGACAAAATAGCGTATTTTTGTTAATATTTTGGTTTCAAACCGAAACCGGTTTCATAAAGAGGTTGCGGATGAGTTTTGCACTGTAGTACAATATTTGCATGACGTCACTGTAATGACGTCACTGCCTTGGTAACCGACGTCACGATGCATGTCAGTTGTCATCGCCTCGTACAGCCTCCTATGGTGACGAATGCTACAGTAAACTACTCCGTAGCACCCCGTTTCTTGGTTTGCAGTTGCTTCATTCGGCTAACATCACTGGTGGAAACATTGCGTTTACGTTTTGCGACGGGTAGAATGTCTCAGTTCGGCTCACAATTTAACAGCGACACGGCAACGTTCGCGATGTTTACATTCCCACAATGCATTTAAGTTGTAGAATGAATGGATTCACGTGTTTGTTATGAATGAAAAAATAGTTACGTCAGAATGTGACCTAATTGAGAGGTCATCGGTTATCCAATCAAATCGTTAGAATCTCAGGTCAAGTTGTTACGACACAGGTCAACGCGATACGACACTCGTGTGACGTACGAGATTAGTATGCAACTACCCATACGTTGACCACGTGGGTAATAAATGGAGAATCTCACTCGAGCGTCTTTTGATATCAAATACATCGCCACGAGTTGATAAAGCCAGCAAGCCTCGGATATTTTTACTTTTATCAACGAGTGTTGATATATTTGATATCAATAGACACGAGGCTGAGATTCTACTTATCATCAAAAATCACTCTTCATTATTAGGTTTCATTTAAAAAATGTACATCTCTGAAAACGATACTGCCATTAGACTTGTAGTGCAGCGATGTCATAGCATTGTGACGTAATCAAGTCATGACGCCTTAGCATTGTCAGGGCATTGTACAAAATCTACTGTCAAAACGATATCTCCTTGGATGATAAAGTTCATGGTGTGGTGTGTGTGTGTGTGTGTGTGGCTGTGAGAGAGAGGGGGTTGTTCAGTATTCATGTAGTTGGTCAGCATAGCTGCTCCAAGTTCTGATCTTATTTGAGAAAGGATGGTAGTTCGTGTAAAGGAAACATGATCATACTCTCTTGACCTTAATATATTAATATTTCCGTTACAATGTTAACGTCTCCATCAAAAATTTATAACTTGCCGGTGTAACTTTTTGAGTTCATGCTTTTCCACTTGACCCATGAGGACATTTATGGACAGTACATCTTCTTCTTCTTCAGTATAAAACATATCAGAGTAAAGCAATGAAATTTACAATTTGCACCATTTTTATGCTATAGGGCCCGTACGTGTCGCGAGTGGCTACTTCCAGTAATAGATTTCCGGTGACTCGCATGCATTCAAGAACGAGTTCTGGTTCCAAATTGCGCGACCGCAAAATATGACTTCACGAGATTGGATCAATTGTACTACCACACTTTGCTGCACAGCGGTTGACAGATATACACGTGCTGTTCATGCAACATAGTCTAAGTGTTTTTGTAGCCTGATGCATATCATAGTTTTCTAAGTCACGCAGCGTGTGTCGAGTATGATTAGTCAGGACATGCCCCTCGTAACAGTGCTATCGTCATTGCCGTAAACGTTGTTTGTCGCCGGAAGTACTAAAGTCTCGCAAAGTGTCGTGACCTACTTACGTGACCTGTTTTCAGTTACCGGATACATTCTGTGGCTAGAAGATAGAGACAAAATCTGGATGGTGGGAGGTTTCATAAATGTCACTTGATAACACTTTCACTAGAGAGATCCTAAAAGATAGGACACGTGAAGATCCTAGAATTGGTCTTCAGGAAGCCATGCTTGTCGTAAGAGGCGACTAAGATGGTCAGGCTGGCTGACTTGGTTGACACATGTCATCGTATCCCAATTGCGTAGATCGATGCTCATGCTGTTGATTACTGGATTGTCTGGTCCAGACTCGATTATTTACAGACCACCGACAGCTGGAACATTGCTGAGTGCGAGAAACCAACCAACCTATAAAAGATAGGCACTTGATTGCATTTGGTCTAGAACTGATTAATGTGCTGTCGCTCGACTTAGATGCATATACCATTCAACGAGGGCGCAGTACACCCTGTCAATATGTGGTAGATTTGAGCCCCGGAATTTGAAGACACCTTCATTGCCCTGTATTCCAACCGTAGACGCAAGTCTCCAACATTTTTTCCACCACCCTACTTTTTCTTCTCTTTATCGGAGAATGAACAGACAATAAACGATTGGGGATGGGGGTGGGGTGTCTGATGCGGTGACTGTGTTACATGTCATGCAATATTCACGTGGAAGTGCATTAAGAGAGGGTTTATCAGTTTAGTGTTTTAACAAATATTCAATCAAAAGATTAAACGATAGTACGTTGATAGATTAATCACTGTTATCTTGACAGTGGACTTACCAAAAGTACATTTTTTGTGTACGAAAAGTTAACACAGTAGATGAAATACACCCACATTTGTAAAATTGCCTGTTATAAAAACAGCGTCCGTTATTTCCAGGATTAGCCGATAATGCGTTGATTGATTGTTCCTTAGGATCGAACTAAATTATTTTTTTCAAAGACCCATGCATAGTTGTCACGTGTGCTATCTCGGATCACCAATATGACTTTACACCTATGTGAAAACAACCGGTACAAAGTTGAGAAGTTATCACCAGTTGTAATACCCCGGAACGCTACATGTATTGTACAAACCTGATTGTTAAAGGCACCAATATCACACCACACTTCTCTAAAGAGAAATACTGCATTTCTCACAATAAAACTATCAGGCCTCAGGGAAGCTACACTATAATAATTTATTCCAAAAACAATTACGTATTTAGATTACAATATTAAATTAATAAGTTCGAATGAATTAATGCAACGTTGCAATAAATCAAACTCTCGCGCCCTCCACCAGCCGAACATTATTTCAAGCGAACCCCATAGAGTTATGTCCCTTGGAGCGCTCTTTACGAATATCCTACGCACAACTTGTGATTGAAACCACCAAACAACAACCGCAAACAACAACAGCGTGCTACAGTTTTCGATGTACGGAGTAATTGTCTACATTCCATATATGGCAAGTGTTCTCTGGAAGCTGTTCGCCTCGAAGTTTCAATTATCGATTTCAGGCAAGTCGTAAGGGATAATACCCTCATTGTCGAAATGTGTGACATTGTCACGTGGCATCGAGCACATTTCTTTGTCACTGTGACCTGCATATTGACGGATGTATTCCTCGAACAAAGTAACTGAATGATAATGTTTGTCGGTTGTCAGTTTCCACTTATATTTTGTTGTTGTGGCATTGAACAGAATCATTCCACTTTACTTTAACATCTTCGATCAGGGTTTGTGAGACGTGACAGAGTATTTGACTTCAGTTTCACATGGTCAAACTTTGGTCAAAGAGTGACGCGTGAACAATGTGAAACATTCGGTCGGAAGCGTCACGCTTGACCCATGCGTGTAAGGGGATTGGTCAATAGTGTTATGGCATATGCACCTATAATTCAAAGACAACGATACAAACATCGGTCTAAAAAATGTCGCACTCACGAAATACACGAAGTTATTATCCAAGGATTACTAATCCAGGCATACATATTTAATAATCCTTGACTTCCACCTGTCCATCCACCTTTGCAAGCTCTAATTAAATACTCAGTCTGACTTCCCTTGTTATTTCATCACTGTTTTATAAGTATGTACATATACAACTATCTATGTACCAGGCTTTCATTCACCTGAAGAAGTAGGAATATACTCCGAAACGTCGTGGTCTTCAAATAAATAAGTTGACACCCATAAGTTCTCGCCGTTATCCATAAAGTTTGTCAATATTGAACTCCCCTACTTCTAAAATGCCACGTAAGTTAGTTACTATTCTTTGTTGTTTACACGTACGCAAACCGGAATACAGTGCGTTGCCCCAAGCTACAGCGCCTGCTTTCAAAAGCAGTGGTTGTTCAACACATACTGTATAGCATTCGCTTTGAATTCTTTCTGCCATATTCTGTACCCCGAATAAGTGCCACTGGCCTACTTCTGAGCCAGTCTATAAATAGCATTAGACAGCGTCCCAACCATTCGGGAGGGAGAGAGATAGATACACTGACAGAGAGGGGGGTAGGGGACAGAGAGAGAGAGAGGGGGAGAGAGAAGGGGAGAGAGATATGTGAGAGACGACACCCTCACATGAGGAGAACAAACCTGACATCAATCACGACACACCACGATTATATCTGCCTATACAAATACCTCTATTTACAGGAGATAACCTGTGAAGATCCGGGACAGAATTGGTCTTGAGCAAGGTCTGATGCCATGGTCTGATGCATGGCATCGCATCCTAATTGATGCTGATGTCAATCAATGGATTGTCTGGTCCAGATTTGATTATTTACAGACCACTGTCATTGTTGAATGAACGGTTTAATTGGCCGTTTTATGTTGTAGATAAATGGATTCTCTCTCTCTCTCTCTCTCTCTCTCTCTCTCTCTCTCTCTCTCTCTCTCTCTCTCTCTCTCTCTCTCTCTCTCTCTCTCTCTCTCTAGAACTCTCTCTCTCTCTCTAGAACTCTCTCTCTAGAACTCTCTCTCTCTCTCTAGAACTCTCTCTCTAGAACTAGAACTAGAACACACATATTCACATGTACAATCCCACGAATCACCATCATCACGAACCAAGCCCAGCCAATGCACTGTCACTTACCTCCCGTGATAGCCAGCCAGAGGTACACGTAAAGATGCCCTCTTATCGCCATTACGTGCACACGATAGCTTCCTATAGACACTTGAACATTTATTCCACGTATGTCAACAGTTTAATGGCCGATATACTTCAGTATCCTTACGTGTTATTCCTAAAGTATTTAAAGTCGGTTTGCCTTTAGAATTTCTTCTTATAGCGTGTACAACATGCCTAATTTACTTCCTGGTTCTTTCACACACAATATTCTATTCAGAAACAGGGCTAAGCAGTAGAACAAGTCAGCCCACATCAAGTATAGCTTCCGTGCAGAACCGTTATTTATCTTCAGTAAACCAGAACGCTTCACATTAAAGGTTTAATTGAACATACGCTGAACAACCATCAACGTAAAGATCTGCTTGTACCAGTGCCTTTCAATCTATATGGACTGTCACACCCTGCAACCATTCTACCTGATATATGAATACGTATGATGGGTCCAGGTGTGGGTTGCAAAAACGATGTGTAAACTGTATGAATCCACGTAGCGGATTCTAGAAAGGTTTCCACATCTACCGGTGGTTGTACGCAATGCGGACAATATCAAAGAAAACTGCTGAGCAATGTGTATAATTAAATTACAGGTTGACGATAATGGAATTATACTTCACACAGGGGGACAATCTTTCTACGGTACTTCAACATCCTGGAAGTGCAATAATCGAAGTTGATAAAACCATCACACAAAACGTAAAAACAAACAAGCAATTATTTTCACATGTACATATTTATCATTTATGATACATATTTTGAAATCTAGATATGTCAGTATGCATCCTAACAACAGGTGTTTGAATGTCATAATAAAGACGTTTATGTCCATAAAAACTCTCTTCCTCATCCTAATAACCATGACAATCTAAACATTTCTGTTCCACCGTCCACGCAAACACAGATAACACCACATGTAGATTTACATTTCCCTATGGCAAGTATACCGTGTTATAGTGGGATTAATCACGTCCTCATAATCTATTTTCAGGCACATTAATATGAAATAACGCGACGGGTTCTATAAAAGTATAATCTTTTCAACTGATTTGCCTGAAAATATTGTTAGCCATATCTCAGCAGGATATCAATGAATGTAATATAAAGCTTTATTGGATATACTGGTTTAAATATATGAAAGCTCTCCACTTCAAGCGCCAGCTGCATCTTGATAAGGACGCAATAGGCTTTAGGATATACGTGTTCACAGTAGGTGTATTGCTAATATATTGATTTCAATGATATCCAAGTATTTGTCCATAAAATCTAAAATCATTTCGACAAAATGGATTGGTGTAGGATAGTTCATGTAGTTATTCCGGGTAATGTATATGCTTTTGTATTTGTTAATATATCTAAATCTTCTTTGATAATATTTGTGTTTCGATATAGCTTATTTTCATATTGAGATAGGTCATGAAGTTTTTGTCGAAATTAATAGATATGCAGTCAAATTGCAGGAATACAATGTACAATTGGACGAATAGGGACAAAATAGTTCTACTGAATCTTTTTGGGAAATTCTAAAATTGTTTCCAAAGATTATGTTCTGAACATGTTAAAGCGAAAAAGGATTCCAAGTCTAAAGGGTTCGCCTATAAATGATGATTTATGGAGTCTGTTATCTTGTTTTGCCAAACTCGAATCGGTCTTTGTATCGACCAGGTGTACGTATAATTAGGAGCTTAACATACTGTGTTGGAAAATCAGAGTATATAACGAAATTAGAATAGCTCTAAATTTCGCGTTCAAATTTAGGGCTATTATAATTTCGTAATATACCTCTGATTTTCCAACACAGTACGTTTATCTGCATTCTACAATAACCGCGTTATTAAGATTTTTTTTTAAATACACACAGTGTTGGATAATCAGAGGTATGGGACGTGATTATATACCTCTGAATGACTTTAATTAACTAATCACAATCAATTATTTACTGAAGTCATTATAGGATTAAAATTGCAGTTGAAATATCAGCTGGATACAAAGCGACAAAAACATTTGCATAATCACAAGAGATCTCTACGAAAGCAGAATCATTTTCCGATTCCGATTGAAATAGTGATGACACCAGGTGTTCGCGAACCACCTCCCAGCAGGAAGCCCGTCCCAGCCACATTCAAAAGCAGGTCAATTGTTTTCCTCAAACATAGGAAGACCCCCCTCCATATTTCTACCACAAGTCTTTCTATAAGCTTTGCCCACATGGGTACACTGCTTGAAGCCCATTTCTTGTTCCCCTACTCTAATATTGCTAACTCACCGAAACTAATCTGACACACTATAAGCTTTGTTGAGGTCTTTACTTACACTTCAGGGTGTGGCGCGTATGAGATGAATAACGTCCGGCTGGGGACCTAACTTCATCGAGTCTGTGACAAGATATTATTTTACACACAAGAAACCGTGACAGGATAGCGATTGAGAGGCTGTCACATGTTTACAAAAAGTTCTGAGGGTCTGAGAAAATACACCCGCCGATTACCTGTTACTGTGGCGTCGATAATTACCCACGTGTATGACACGGTTCTATCCCCTTATGACTACGACCCAGTATGACTACATCCCAACTTCACTACAGTAGTAGAAATACACATCCTTTTACGTCCTATACAGGTAGGTACCCTATGCCCGAATGGACTCGTCCAACTATTTGGCTTATGTTATTAATGAGTTACACCGAGTAGCCATAATACAGGTAGCTGCAAATACATTCCTTAATATAGTGGTCTAAGTGATATTTTAGCAGTATGGAATACTATGTATAGAAGGTTAAAACACTGACGTTGAATGAGTTACTCATCAATGTAATGCGACTCATGCTATGTTTAGTGTACATGTGACAGTGCAATAATACAAATCAGTAATTATGTAATGTACAGATTATTTATATCAGATACGTTAATACACTCACACACACACACACACACACACACACACACACACACACACACACACATCGTACTAAGTGCTATGGTACTACTGCAACTATACTGTGTATGTTTTCCTACTGTTTTATTTTACATCTTGTTTTTGAAAGAAGATAATAAGTAGGCAGAAGGAAATATACGTTCATTTTCCTTGTATGTTCAACACGTAATGCAAAAGTACCATAGTCATACTGACAAGATCTTCTAGCTCCTTGGACTGTTCCAAGTGTCACAGCGTCACGCCGAATACCCGGGTTCGATTCCCCACATGGGCACACTGTGTTAAGCCCATTTCTGGTGTCCCCCGCCGTGATATTGCTGGAATATTGCTAAAAGCGGCGTAAAACTAAACTCAGTCAGTCAGTCAGTCCAAGTGTCACAGGGAAGGGGTGACAGCTGGTAGTTAGAAATCACTCAACCATTCTGAACTGGCCTAACCAGAATGCTGTAAAATAGACTAACAATTGAGAACTGACACGAGAAGACCGCAGCATATACCCGCAGAGACCCGGTTGACAAAGCGAGAACATACAGCCCTTCATGATCACGGTGTACAATGGTTGTTGTTGCCAGAGGTATTTTAAACAAGCCAGAAAAGAGTTATCTGTGGGCGTTGTGCAACTATCCTTAGGGACTTTCGGGGATTGCACAGGAAAGGGTATGTTTAGTAAACCTTTATAATGACCAGTCGTTATTTTAACTGGCTGTGAAGAATTTCAGAACACAAATCGATACAATTATATTGCTGGGAGTGTCACGGTGACAGGTCACACTTGTTATAACATCTGCTCACGTGACCAGTGTGGTAGACGACGGTGTTTGCGGGTGCGCCACGTACAGCTTGGAAATAAGTGGACTAACCACACGGAACTGTGTTCACAGGTGAGAGTATTGAATATGCATTAACAGTCCCGGTAGCATAACTTTGTACCTGTAATGCTTGGTAAATACAAAGAGAAATGTTCATTTTCATTTAGAACATATCACTTCAGGGAACTATATCATGGTTGCAACCATTACACCATGGACGTTAAGGAAACAGTGTACTGAAGCAAGTATATGTATCGTGTTACCGCTACAGTTACAGATATTTGAAACAGAGCAATAACCAAGTGACTATGTACACGTGTTACAAAGCAGAGTATTTATTATAAGTATTGTCAAATGTTTTCTAGCGGGTTCAGTGACCGAAAATCATTTGCATATTCAACACGGATGTCAATGCAGTTGGACTAGTATTACCTGTATTACCTGGTGTAGGTTTCAAACGAATTTAATAACCCAAAGGTAATAATGGCAGACTGAGATCTTGATAAAACATGGCTCTTGTTTCAATGGTTGTAATCAAAGGGTGGATTTGTTAGTGCAGGGACCTTGGACATCATACAATGCCGTCCGGTAATTCCGCGCACCTAAGCACATCGTTCGCAACACGGAAACTAACTATTTTTTTGTGGTTTACGTGACTAAACATGCTGGTATGCATCATATTTACCTAGAAATATAAGTTTTATTGACGACTATAAGATTCTAACGTTTCATTATGCCATGCGGTTGACTTTACCGGCGTTCTGACGACATCGCTTGCTGTCCGGTAATTCTGCGCAGCAACTGATGCGCATAACATCCAGATGGCGATCCGAAGTATGGAAGCGTTTTAGGGCCAGATTATTTTCAAAGATCGCTTCATCAATTTAAGGAAGAGTGTTTCATATTAAATCCGATTATGAATGATGAAGAAAAAAGGTTTAAAGTCCGATGAAAACGTCATTTTATTTGTCAGTAACTGTTATTTACCTATCTTTAGTGATTAAAAGCCAGTCCCTTGTAGAAATGTCCCGATTTCAAGCGTAAATGTGGTAGAAGGCGATGTTTACCTTCGATACGGAAGTACGCTATTGCAGCTGCGCAGAATTACCGGACGCGCTTGTACATGTATTGACTATTTTCGATAAATATTCTGATATGACTATGTGTATAGATTATTTAGATGAATATCTATGATCTAACTACATATATTGACTATTTCGATCAATAATAATAATTACATGTATTGGTTACTCAGAACAATATTCATTCTATAACTACATGTATTGACTATTCAGATCAATGTTCATTATAAGATTACGGGTATTGACTATTTAGAACAATATTCATGATAGGGGAAAAAATATTCCTTATCTGACTACATGTATTGACTATTTAGATAAATATTCCTTATATGGCTACATGTATTGACTATTTAGATAAATATTCCTTAAATGACTACATATATTGACTATTTAGACA